TATTTCACAATAAAGAAGGGTATCACTCTTTACTGTCAATAGGGAGAAAAATTTTCTTGCCTATAGTTAAATTTTGTTGTTACTTGTATCTTAAACTTTTTTATATCCCTTCTGAACCCGGATATAAAATGTATATAAGAAAATTAACATTTTTATTTTAGCTACAGCTGGAGGCAAATTCCTAACTATTTAAGAATTGCCAACTATCACTAAAGATATGATAGGCTAAATATTAGGTCTTAAATATGAAATGTTCAATTTCGAATCAAAAGTGTAGTTTATTATATCTCAAACAAGAAGCAATACAATTAAAGTATGTGCCCAAACTGTGAACACAGTGTTACCATCTTAACTGTAGCCTGTTTATGCTAACAGCGAAGAAGCCTGGAGAGGGAGTGGCGATGAAATCACAAAAGGTGTTTTCCACAGCTTGTTGAGAATTGAATATTTTTCGTTGCAAGAAGTGGTCCAAAGCCTGGAAGAAGTAGTCAGTTGATGCAAGTTCTGGTGAATATGGTGCATGACAGAAAGTTTGCAAGTCCAGCTGCTGTAGTTTGAGCAGCATTGTTAGTGTGATATGTGGTCAAGCCTTGTCTTGCAAGAGGATTGGACTGTTTCTATTTGACCGATCTTGGCTGCTTAATGGCAAGCATTCTCATCATTTCGTCCAATTCATTGCAGTAGACATCTGCTGTAATCGACTGACCAGGTTTCATGAAGCTGTAGTGGATGATACTAGTGCTGGACCACCAAACAGACACCATTAGCTTTTTTCTATGAATATTTGGTTTTGGACTGTGTTTCGGCACTTCATCTTTATCCAACCATTGTGCTGAATGCTTGCAATTGTCAAAAAGAATCTATTTTTCATCACATGTAACAATACAGTGTAGAAATGGTTCACCTTTACATTGTGACAGCAAAGAAAGGCAAGCTTCGAGATGATTTCTCTTCTGATGCTCATTTAAGTCATGCAGTACCCATCTCCCCAGCTTCTCTACCTTGCCAATTTGTTTCAAATGGTCCAGTGTTGTTGGAATAGTAACATCAAACCTTGCTGCTAATTCACACTTAGGTTGAGATGGATTTGCTTCCACTGCAGCTTTCAGCTCATCATTATCCACCTTGGTCTCAGGTCACCGACATGGCTCATTTTCAAGATTAAAATCACCAGAATGAAACTTCTCAAACCATCGACATACTTGTGTGCGTTAGCCACATCCTTCCCAAACACTTTGATGATATTTCGAGCTGTCTGTACTGCATTGGTTCCATGGTAAAACTCATATTCAAAAATAACACGAATTTTTGACTTATCCATAGTTTCACAAAAATTGCTCTAAAAAAAAAATTGTGAAAAATAATCACAAGCCAAAGCGCACATTTGAAAGACTGAGGATGTACTTTCACAACAAGGGGGAAAAAAAAATCAAAATGAAATGTCAGAGATAGCAATTGTCAAACTTAGTACTTAAGGAAATCAGACATTTCATACTTAATGACCTAATGGAAACCCTACCTGATTCCACTTGGAAAGCCCACCTCCGCTTTCAACATTGCACTGTTTCAGAAATCTGGCTTCACTTTGAAGTAGGCTGAGCCCTGAGAGACTACAGAGAGTAACCCCGTGTTGACTGATTAACAGTGCATGAAAGCAGTTTTATTTGTCCTGGGCAACACCTAGGGAATATTGTTAGTGCTGTGCTTGCTTTTGGTACTTAGCCAATTATCCTAGCGGTAAGAAGTGTATGTGTGTGGTTCTGAGTTTGTTTCTTAAATAAAACATTTATATTATCATCATTATTATTATTACAGCAATACACATTAATTCCAAAAATTGCTACATAAGATTACTTTCAGAGTGTTATATTAGGAAAGGAGCCCCAGACTGTTCAGAGACAGCGTAGATTCTGCTACTGCCCGACCTTGCTGATTATACTTAGAGCAAGTCATTTAACCTCTCTGGTGCCTCGTTTTCTCACCTTAAACATTGTAGGAATTTTTAACCTCTGAAATGTGTGTGCCACCATTTCAGCAATCACATTTTTTTTGCTGGGAATAAAAAAAATAATTTTGTTAGAATAATACACGACAAATGTTGGCAGTAATAGCTTAAGGGCCATCACTAAATGTGCTCAGGGAAACCTGTGTAATGGTTACCACTGTAAACAGCCTTCATTAAAATCTTTAATTTGATTTTAAGGTTGCTTTGATCAACATTTGAAGAGGTGTTCTAATCTAGTTTCACTTTTATTTAACAGACTGGTAGAATTAAAGTCAGATGAAGTAGAAAGCAGGTGGCAGGGTGAATAAGGTTTGGGGAGAAAAACAATTGTTTTTTTCTTTTCCTCTCTCCATTCTGTCCCCACCCGCCTTACTTCTTCCTCCTCCTACTCCTCTTTGAGGAAGGGGCAACCTTTATAGGATAGGGTAGTAGATACCATAACAGATGTAGATGACACTTAATCCAATATATTTTTAGAGATTTTAAAACTCTGAAATACTTTTGTAAAATCTCATTTTAAATTTTAGCTTCCTTTTTCATTTGAAAATGAACTCAAAACTGTGCTTGTCATGAAAAATTGACTAACTTGTTTTAAAAAGACTTTATTAAATTTCTCAATAATTCATTTATTTAAACATAGACACATATCTTGCTGTTTCCGCAAAAGGATTATTGGTGACTCCTTGCCTGTAATTGATTTACTACCTTGTTTTAAATTGTCTTTGCAGGTTCACTTTTCCTTAAAAGTCACAGACATTTTACATAATTGAAAGAGTGAGAAGGAACCACAACATTATAACTCTCTGTGAGATGTTCCAAGGTAGTGAAAATAGACTGATAAGAGGGCCAAGAAAAGCCTTAGCTCTCCATGGAGAAAAGCACTGCCATATTTAGGCCTTTGTGAAATTTGCATACTGCTTTGCATATATACACATACAGTTGCTTTGGTGACTTCCTGTATTTGGTTTTAATTTTTGCATAAATGAGGTTTTTTAAAAGTTGGATTTATGTTATATTGGCATATTGTCTATTTAAAAGAAACCACTACTGTCTACTGAAAAAAAACACTATTTTGTTTCCACAGAAACCTGCTAATATTTTAGTTATGGGTGAAGGTCCTGAGCGAGGAAGAGTAAAAATTGGTATGTTACGTCTTTGATAAGTCACAGTGTAGTACTCTTAATTTTTGCAGGCAGCTGTATCACTTCTAATTTTTGCTGTAATAATATGCATTTATGCATGTAGTTCCATCTGATCGGAGCCATTTCTAAAGAGTGTACACAAAAGTGAAAAATGTTTCACACTCCTGAAAGGTGTCAGACACTCTTTAGAGACTGAAGTGTCCCAATTAGGAAACAAGCTGTGCAAGTTTCCTAGAAACCTCTGCCTTCATTAAAAATAGCCTAAAGAGGTGAGTGGCTTCTATCCCTGTTAGATGCCAGCCTCACCTTTAGTCACAAGGGCATACAGCATGCTAATATTTCTACCATCAGTTCTGTCCACCTCAGCCAGATTAGATGCAAACATATACCTCTGCTGACCTCATCTAGATGAGGAGTTACAAACTAGGGAAAGCCATGAGGCCGGATAGGTACAGAACCTTAAATTCTAATGATACTGTCTTGTAGTAGGCCTTTGCCTGATGGGAAAAAAAATTAATGGGCATTCTGTACCTTGACATGTTTTCTGATAGCTCTATTTTCCTATATATCGAAGCAAAATTTTACCCATTTCTGGTCTGATAATCTGTAAGGATACAACTAAATTTATTTAACTTAACTGGTTATTTTTTTCATTGTCATTTCCAAGTTCTGTTTGTCACATATATTTAGTTTGTTTTGTGTGTGTGTAAAAGAAATGTTACAACTAAATTATATTAATTTAAAGACAGCAGGATTGTGGGAGTAAATACTAATAAAGTTAATAGTAATTTCTGATCACAAGATTTAATATGAATAAGAAGGGTCAGCTGACTTGTATCACTTTACCAACAAAGAAAAACACAAATATTCTTAACTCTTCTTCCCTATTCTCCCTTATAAATCCCCCAAATCTCACTTTCTTTTTCTAATTAGACTTTTAAAATGCTCTTTTATGAAACAAACTTTGCAAATTTTTAGTTATGAGAACATTTGATGCACTTCAGCATGCTCCAAGCCATTGGCTTTCCTTGAGAACCAGGCAGTACTTATCCTACTGTCATCAAATAAATGCCTAAGTCTTTACATGTGCTTTTAAAAAGGAGTCTGTCCTGTCCAATTTGATGGCATCAAATTCAAATGTAAGTTTAAAGCATGCAAAATAGAAA